ATGTTAAGAGTGGGCAGGGAGCCTGAGGGAGGTGTGAGGCGGGCGGCAAGCAGTCGTGGTGAGGTAGGCTTTCCCTCTTGTTACAGCCCGAGAAACAAAGCCGTCCCCTCAAAAACAGTGTCTCACGAGGGCACTTGGCGTGCTGCTCCGTGAGACCCGTGTGCTGAGTCCCAGGGAAGGCTGGGGACAGGGATACGGTGACAGCCCCGTGGGCAGCTGTGCCTCAACATCCCGCAGCACCACAACGGGCCCCACCACCCTGCCGTGGGCCCTGGGGCATGAGGTGGCCGGGGAGGCTTGGCAGAGCACAGCTGCTGTCACCTGTGGATGAGGCAAAGAATTGGTTTAAAAATCTCCAGACTGGTTTAAAAGGAGTTCCTGGATCTATCCTCCTCTGGCCTTCCCATGGCTGCGCACCTCAGAAACCTGACTGCAGGAAAACCAGAAAACAACTCAAATTCTGTAAACTCGAATAGGTTATTATCACTGAGCATTTAACTCCCAGTCCTCAAAATTTGTGTTTCACGCAACAGAGGAGATGAAACCATTTAAAAAGATGAAGAGAGAATTAATGCTGCCAAGATAACAAAGAAAGAAAATGCAGCAGCAGGCTGAGTGGGTGTTGATTGTGCAAGATGCAAGACCCTGCAAACTTGGACTTGGGTTTCAGCCATGAAGATGGATAGGAGAGCATGTAACATGAAGTCTCTGGACTAGTCAGGACACATGTCAAATAATGATACCTAAATCAGGTACCTGAGTGATATGCAGGGTTATGGGAGGTGGTAAGAGGAGCATAAATGGGTTTAAGAGACTGCCAGCTCTGTTATGGCTGCAGTGAATTTGAGCCAGGGGCATCCTTAAGAAGGTACCAGAAAGGTGAAGGTTTTCATTTGGAAAAGAGGTGAGTGTGGAGCAGAGATCAATTTCAGCTGCCTGTACAGAAGTGGCTGTTGAATTTCTTTTTGGAGGTATTACACAGATGAGACATTGCTGAAATATTCTGTAAGTTCTGTAACAGTATTTCGTAACAGTGTTCTGCAGATTATGTGAATTCAAAATTCAGTATTTGATTTTTCCTGAATGCCTAATGTTTAATCCCACTTTTCACACTGGGTTATTTATTAACACTCGGTAAACAAAGCATTATATATTTATGCATATCGTTCGGATTGGAACCTTACTTTTCTCCAAAATGGAAAACCATCTATTGCTTTGTATTTTATTATTGATTCCTGCCTTTGCATCATCAGACTTTTTGGTAACACATGTCAGAAACATCAAGGTAAGTAATCACCCATGTATCGGGCCCCCATTCTTCATAGGTTAACCTCCTGCCGTTTATCAGCATTTATCAGAGAATTCATACAGTGCTGCCACCAGAAGCTTTGTGTTCTCTGTTACCAGTGAACACAAGATCAGACTTGGGACTCAGATTAGTTTACCTCTAATCAGCCTCCATTTCTAATGATCTATGAAGAAGCTCCCCTCTCTCTCTTTTTTAAAAGCATCACTTTTCCTCTATTTTCCCTGTCATCACCACATAACAGTAAAATGTTTTAGTGATCTTACATTTAAATGTGTAAAACAGTCGGTGCTGCCGAGGAACTGACTTTAGCCCCTGTAAAACAGTGCGAAGTGTCAGTGAAAAGATGCCTCCCAGAAGCAGAAAACAGAGTTGTAACATGGTATCCAGATAAATGTGTCCACTATTCAATTGACATTTTTCTCAAAAGATTTGCATGTTAGCATAACATGAAATATATCTCTGTCCTCAAAGGGGCTATTGTGTTTTTGACTAGATCTCTGAGTAAGACAGTGCTTCCTGATGTTCTGCCTAATTTTCTCAGTTAAGTTGCTGGCCACTGCTACTCACCTCAATAAATTATTTTCCTCACTCTCAGTAGTTACATACTATGAAAAGTTACAGAGGGCAGATCTCTTTAGGGAGCATTGTAGGTTAGTGGGTAGAACAGGACAAAGCAATTTACAGTCAATTTCTGTTGATTAGGTCATGGTCTCTGCCAAGACTTTTTCTTTGAAAATCAGGATAATAACATATCTAACTTTTAAAAATCAGCTTGGGATTTATTGCTGCAAATTGGACATGCCATGGATTCTTATTATTTAACCATTATGTAGCTCTGATATAATGTAGCTTTTTCCTCCTAATTACCATACTACCCGTTGTTCTTGCAGTGCTAAAGCCTTTCTAAATAGAAAATGGCTAAAGCTCTGTGCAATGCTCCATCCGTACATGCAGAACACTACAGAAAAGTTAGTTGATTCTCCCAGTTTTGTTATATACTTCAGGCAAATGTAATTTGATTGAAATGGAAGAGATTGCTATGTAGTGTGAAGGTCTCAGTCCCCGTCCCTGTCTTAGCTCCTTTGAGCAAGTAATATGCCAGTGAGGTGTGATGAAGCATGGCTGAAGTGTGTCTGGCTGATGACCTTCAAGCTGTCAAAGCTGCTTTTAAAGCCATAGTCAGGTAAACACGATTGGCAGACCCAATTCTGCTGAAAATTGAGCAAAAATCTGAATCAAAGATCCCTAAGTGCACTTGTACACCTTGTTCCTGTGCATGCAGCTACTAAGGGTGGGAAAGTTTTTTCTAGATTAAAACCTACCCCTAGAACTACATATTCAAAACATTCAAAGCACAGGTAGCAATGATACGGCCTTCCCTTTATAGCCCTCTCATTTCGGCAGCAGCAAGACTCCTACATAGCTCATGAGGAAGTTTAGTTTTCATAGCTTAGCTGCGTTACGGTCTCTTCTCGGAGATTTGCAATTAGCATCACTTGGGATGATGAAATCTTTAATGTTGCTGTAGATTTGGAAATAATTTTCATGCCTTATTTTTCCTGTGTAGTACTTGGGGATACATGCAAATACCTCATTTAGTGTTGTGAATTTCCGGAGGTCACTTCAAGTTAACTGTACAGTCTTTGCTGAATTTTTCAGTCATGCTGTGTTTTAGTTTCCCAAGCTGTAAATCAGGGCTTCTCTCAGCAGGTACTGTAATGGGAGCCCTCTTTGCCCCCCCTATTTTCTTGGGATTCAAATTTCTTTTTTCCTCTGCTCTTCCTCTCCAATTTCTAAAGATTTTTTGCACTTATATTCTTTGCTGTTGCCACAGCAAAACAGTATTAAACAAAAGCAGAATTTGTTACTGTTACACAACTGAAAAATAATTTCTAATAATTGGTGCAACTGGCAAATATGTGGAAATACTATAGAAAGATTTTATCAAATAACTGTAATTACACAAGGTAGAGGATATTAAAATCTCAGTTTGGTCTAGAATTGCATAACATATTTTTTAATGGGACACTATCACTTTCTGCCCATGTAGCTTGAAATTACCTTGATGTTAGTGAGGTCTCTAGCTACATCCAAGCAAATCATTAAGAATGAAAAAAAAAAAAAAAATCACAGAATCACAGAGTCACCTAATCCACTCCCCTGTGCAAATCAGGGTCAGCTAGAGCAGGTAGCCCAGGACGATGTCCAGCTGGGTTTGAGTATCTCTGTTGAAGATTAGCCCAAGTACAAAGTGACTAATACCTTTCACCGAGAGATTTTTCTGTATTTTCTTTCTCAATGAGAATGGCAGAGTACCCCCCAAAATATTTACAGAATCAGAACAGAACTCTCTCAAAACTACTGTAGAACCCATAATTCTGATAAAGAATGTGCACAACAGCAATTCTGTAAAAATGAAATGCAGGTAAAATATCTTTTTATTTAGGAGGTAGTAGCCAGAATTGCAGAATTTGTAACTAAAGAACATATTTTTGTAGTTTTTTGTATTTTTAAACTGCTTGGTAATTCCACTTTATGGAAAAGTTCGTACCAAACAATATAGGGTCTTGAAAAAAACTCCAAGATAAACAAAAAATAACATTCTGTGTCTCAGTTTCCAACCTGTAAAACTCCTAACTGTGAAAGCTAACAAAAGCCTTAAATGGAGCTGAGATGTGTATCTGACTTGATACTTTATTGTTTCTTTACCCCTTTATTTGGTGGAGCAGGTAAACATGCTTGCACAAAATGTGATCCACAAGGCTCTTAGAGCCAAAAGAGATAAGGTATTTGCAGCCAAGGTTACGGGAATTGAGTTACACAAGCTGTTATTTTAACTTGATTCAGTAAGTATGTTTGAAGCCTGTTCTCTCTTCAGAAGAGAGTACATGGTATTTTTGTAGAGCTTCTGATATTTGCACCTATTCTGGGAGCAAATATGCAAAAAAAAAAGTTCTAACCGTTTTTTTTTTTTCCCCTCCATGCAGCCTTTCATAGTGACCTCCTCTCCTCTCTGTAAGCCTGCTGAATTACCATCTTACCTATTCATGTTAGAATGAGAGGCTGTTGGGCTGAAATAGGAAAAATTTAGGAGTAAGTCTAAAAGAGTGGAAGGATGAGTGTGCCTGATAGTTTGGATGTGTGTGTGACTGGAAAAAAATGTGCAAACTTGTTTTTTATGCTTTGATACAACCCCCTTTTTTCTTCCAAAGGAGAATTAGTTTGAAAAGACAAAATATATACCACAGGACCCCAAACCAGGAATTCCCAAGAAAAAGATGTAACCCTCAGGACAAGATACTCTGATTTTACTTTGATGTCATCACACAGTCAAACTATACTCAAGGAGGCTGTATTAAGCAGATTTTAGTGTGTTCTTTAGTCTCAACGACATTTAAATATAAATGGCACTGAGCATTCAAGCCTCTTTTCCTCTCACTCTCCCCCCATCTCTCAGGCGGTCCATTACTGGTTTTCCGCTGAAAGAAGATAACGTCATCTTGTGTCACTTGAGCGAAATACAAAATCAGCAACATTCAAAGTTAACTTACCTTTCAAACCCGCGGTATTTAAGGATTTTTTAACATCAAATGAAAACCCAAAGATTCACCAAAACTGGGTATGCTATAAGCAAAATAATTATACCTGCCTCAGAAGCCTTACTTGCTCTTCCCTCAAATTTACTTCAGTTTACTAATGAGGACCCTTCTCAAGCCTTCCTTCTCCTGGACAGCTTCTTTTGACTTGGAAGCAGAAGACAGCTAAATAGGTGCTAAGAGATTGATTTCTAAATGCAGCTTTCCTACCTTAGTTACGATTTTTTTCCATTTTTCTCTTTACAGAAGCGAAATGCTGATAATGACTTGGTGAGTAAGGCTTGATTTTGTCCGGGCTACTGAGAGAGATTTATAGTGGCAAGAATATTCTTACTGTGTTCACAACATGTTTCTGTAAGTCCAGTCTGGGCAAGTGGATATTTCAGAGTGTGTGTGACATGGGGAGTAGCCAAGAGTTGCTTGTTTTAGGCAGTAGGACTGACTAGACAGTTTCTTTCCAAGCTCTGATGGAAACTCCTGGACAAGGAAAGAGAATGAACAAATTATTTTTAACCTCACTGTATTTGAATAAATAGCAAAGTTGTTTGACATCACCTCTGTATCTCTAACAGACATCCATTCTATGTTGGTTTTATTTTTACTTTTATGTTGTAGTTATTTCTAAGGAAGGCAGGAGAACTCATCTCTGAGGCTGATTCCACTTGGCACCTGGACTCTACTTCAGCAATGCTTAAATGCTTTGATTGTTTGGGGACCTTCTTAATCAACCAGCCAGAGATCAGGCCCACCATAAAAACGCTAAGGTTCTTTCCAGTGCTGGTTTTGCTGCAAGAAGCAGACCTCCTTGTTGTGGAGTTGCCTAAGGAGTCATATCTCCTGTGCTTCTGTATAGTCTCCAACAGCCTTATACCTGAGCATTCAAAGAAAATAAATATTGCCCTACTCATTTCCTTGTTTAAAGAAGAATGAGCCCCCGTTGTGAGGAAATTGAGAATAACATAAATGGAATTTGGAGCCATCTGGAATTGTTTAGGTCTATTTTTAAACAAGATGACTACTTATATCCCTGCTCGAGGAGTCATCCACTCAACTGATAATTACAGTCACTAATACAGTGAGGCAGCAGTAAGTTGTTGTGCTCTTTGACTAACCATAAACAAAAATCAGAGTCTCAGTAGAGGAAAAAACCCTATTCTTATAATGGCAGTATCTTTGCTCTGGTGGTATTTTGTTAAAGAGCCTATAGTTATAACTCGTGGAATAGCACCATGATGGCAGTGTGATAGATATCTGAGGAAACACAGCTATGCTCCAGTTCTTATGATTAGGTCTTTAGGGTTTTGCTTTGGAGTGATACAATGTCCTGCCATGATTTCTTTGTAAAAATATGATTATTGCTAATAAACAGAGATATCAGTGTAACAACTAGCTCTTTTTTTTTTTTTTTAATTTTTTTCAATTTACAGATTGTCAATGGGATAGAAATCTATAACATGAAAATTGATAGTAAAGTAACTTCCCGATTTGCCCACAATGTCATCACCAGTCGAGCTGTCAATCGTGGAAATGTGCACAAAGAAGTCTTCTTTGATGTTGAACTACCTAAGACAGCCTTCATTACCAACTTCAGCATGTGTGTAATCTTTACACTATTGTTAGAGAAGACTAAAAATCTGTGCAAATGCAACTGGGAGAAACTGAACCCAAATGTTCGTTTTTATGTTGCCATTGATAGATTTTTTAAATGCCTCCTGTGTAGTTTTCTGGTACTGTTAACTGCAAGATACTTGGAGAAAGGCAAACATTGGTACTTCTGTAGAAAAGATGACTAATTTTCAATTATTTCTATTCATCATCATGGACCTTAGGGAATGGGAGATCTTCTCTGGAGATCCATTCACCTTTTCAGAAATACCACTTACTTACTCTGGTGTTATCAACCCAACAAAGTTCCATTACTTAATTTCCCTGATGGCATTATAGCTTAATTTATCTCTTCATTTAAAAAATCATATTTGAATGAAAGGCAGGAAATAGAGAGAATTATTCCTTTACATTTGTACCTTTAGTTGCAGTAATATGCAATTCTCACACCATTATGATGTTTAATTCAGTTTAAACACATCCTTCTCTGCTAATCACACTATGCCTGTTTTATTTTCAGTGAAAAGAAACAGTAGCTTTTAGGGCACAACTACTCTTAATGCATGCTAGAACTTCTGTTATAGGATGAGATGAATCTTCCATGAAAAATGCCTGTTTAATCATGTAAGGAGTCTGAGGATGAAATGTTCAGCTGTAGACAGCTACGTTTGGACAGATGAGTCTCATCCAGAGAGTCATCTTGCCATTAGATGAGATGAGCTTGTCAAGCTGCTGAAGTGTAGGAATATGGCAGATGTAAGTAGCGTTGCTGTCAGCCCAGTTTTGATCGAATTCATTTTCAAAGTAAAATTTGGTTTAGAGTCTCTTAAGATACTGAGCACAGAGCTCTTCATTCCAGCTAAATTCACTGAGAAGACCAGCTTCAGTGAAAGTGCTGAAATCTTGGCAATATCAAATTCCTGAAAGTGCTGTTTAGCAAACCAATCAATAAACAGAGAATTGCTTATAGTAACTTTTCATGTATCGGTGCAAACCATTCATCTAAACTAGGACTTTTTCATCTGCAGGACAATTGATGGTGTCACTTATCCTGGAACTATAAAGGAAAAAGAAGTTGCAAAAAAGCAGTATGAGAAAGCTGTTTCAAAGGGACAGACTGCTGGTCTTGTCAAGTAAGAATGTTGTCTTATGTGGCTTCCACACCATCATCCTATAGCAAATTGTGAGATTGGAAATACCTTGTTCTGGCATATTTCTGAAGTTTGTTTTTTACAGAACCGAAGAATAATCATTAAGTTAGAGTTAGTGTAGTGTAAATTATAAAAAGGAAATACAACTTCTGACTACAGAAGCAGTATCTGCAATTATGGAAAGACTGTTTCTGCAACTGTTACTGACTTTGTATGACCTGTTCCTGGGATTAAGCTCACTGGGAAACTTGAATAAATTCTACACTGAGTATGATTTTAGCAACAGATCAAAATTCCCATCTTTGTTTTACTCCTTTTTTGAAAATCATACTCTACCAACCCAAACAATAAGTATTGTGAAAGAGGATAAAGAGATTATTTTTCTTGCCTACTTAAACACAGAGCTTCAGGAAGAAAAACAGAAAAATTTACTGTCTCAGTCAACGTTGAAGCAGCAAGTAAAGTAACTTTTGAACTCACATATGAGGAACTGCTGAAGCGACAGTTTGGAAAATATGAGATGTTCATCAAAGTAAAACCGAAGCAGCTTGTCAAAGATTTTGAGGTAAATGGTAAACTGTATCAAATTGGATATTGTAACTTAAGAGATGATGAAATTCTGTACATCTGTTGAAAGTGGAGTACCGTGGTTGTTCCCATTGGTTCACAGGTGAGCTAACGGCCCATGATAATATTTCTAATGAATCACCAGGGTAGTCCAGTATGCTTTAGTGCAGGTTTTTATTTGTAAGCCTGACAAATTGGCTCAGCTACTAAGCCTCCAAAAGAAATGATATACGGAAACCCAAAAAAGCCATTATGATGCATTGGGGTAAAACAGAAGACTAATAGCTTTTATAAATGCCTTTATAGCATAAACTACACCTTTTTCACACCACCAAGAAACTACATCATCTTAAATTACAATGATACATACATCGCATTCTAGCATACTGCAGCTTTTGTGTGCCAAAACTTGTCTTTGATCATTCCTGTCTGCCTTGCTAAAACCCAGCTCTAAGGCAAAATTTTTCTGCTTTGTATAGCCAGAAAATGCTGTCTAATAATCATCACAAAACTCATCATCTGTAAGAGTTTATGCAGCTTTATTTTAAACACACTATGATAGGAAGGCATAATGAAATATAGGTCGAAGTTGGGCACAACGCATAGGTAATGGCTGGGTTATATTTTTGAAGGACTTGAGTATTTATTGACATTTTACAAAATTCTGGTATCTAGCTTTCAAACAAGTTATGTTTCTATTAAGGTTTATTTGTTTCTAGCTTTGTTTTTAACTTCTATGTATAAAAATGCCTGTTTGGCTAATGGTGTGTCCGCAAAAGTGTGGATTTGGACTGCCATTATGAATTACAAAATTTCTTTTGCTTTTATGAAAATCCCTCTTTCACATCTGTAGTTGCCTGCTGATCCTCCTGTAAATGGCTAAGTTGATATATTGTGGGGTAATCAATGACAATGAATTTTCAATTAATATTTTAGATTGAAGTAAATATCTTTGAGCCCCAGGGTATCACTGAGCTGGAAGCGGAAGGAACATTCATCACCAATGATCTACAAAATATCATTAAAAAAACTTTTTCAGAGAAAAAGGTACAGTGACTACTGTCTTCCATAATTTATTTATTAAGGTTATAATTCTGAAATAATCATGTCAGTGCAAAAGTGCTGTAGTGGCTAGCAATAGAAGTGAGAGGAAAAAACAATAGAGAAAATACAGTAAAGGCTTGTCTGTGCAAATGAGCTCTGAATTCCAAGCTAGCAAGTTGAAGGCTATCTCCACGCAGTTCAGAAGCCATGTAGCTGTTAGCATGGTATTGTACCCAAACTAGTAGGCCTTATCCCACCACTGTAGTTGGAAACCTGGATACTGATAGGACTATTTCTTACCGAAGAACTGAGTCAGTAACAAGTAGTTTTCTCATGTGTGGAGGTGGTAGAATTCCTAAGACATAGACTGCCCAACAGCCTTATCAAAGGTATCATTCAGAGTGGAGGGCTGAACCAAGGAAGAAGGGAAAATAAACATATGAAGAAAGCTCTAGATAGCAGCCTTCACATATCAGTTAGCCATCAATAAATATATAAATAGGTATGGATACAAACTGATACCTAACCTGATAGAACAGGTTGTTCTCATGTCTCTGAATATAAATATACTAGTTTTATGAAAATGCAGACTTCTTTGTGTTCTGTAGAAAATTTTCAGCTATTAAGGTTCAGATCTAATGAAGGCTTTTCTTTTCAGGGGCATATCTTTTTCAAGCCAACTCTTGATCAGCAGCGAACCTGTGCAAATTGCTCACAGTCTGTCTTGGATGGGGATTTTACTGTAAAATATGATGTGAAGAGAACAAGTCCAGATAATTTGCAGGTAAATCTGACAGCTGGAAATTTTGAACTGTTGAACGGCTTAGCTTGCATAGGTCAGAGAGCAGTGAGGGCCAGCTGTTCCCTAAAGGACAAGGAGCTGAGTGTGACAACACAGCACAGGGACTTCGCCAGCCAAGAGCCCACTCCCCACAGTACCTGAGCAAGGCAGACCCAGAGATGGTAGTCAAATTCAACTGAGAGTCCAGGTCATCAGGCAAGTTTGTGGTGACAAGGCAGCCTAAGGTCAAGGTGGGAAATCAGTCTGCAGGGTGGGATCCAGATCAGTGAAGTCCATGGACAGGAACAGGTATGCCTGTGACACAGCTGGAGATGGGTATTCTTACAGTGTAGCTCAGGCAGAGACTAAAGGCCCAGGCTTGCGCTTAAATGAAGCTCCTGGGCCCATGGACAGAGGTGAGACTAGTCAGTGCTATTAAAGCCTATTAGTCCACTCAGGGGCTAGACACTAAATGAAAGTAATTTCTTCTTTATCCATTTTATCTTTATAATATACAAAAGTCTTTTTTTTTCCTTTTTTTTTTTTTACATTTTATTTTTCAGATTGTCAATGGCTACTTTGTGCACTTCTTTGCACCAACAAATCTTCCAAACTTGCCCAAGAATGTTATTTTTGTAATAGATATTAGTGGCTCAATGTCTGGAAGAGAAATAGTACAGGTAAGTTATTACATTACTATAAAGTCCGAATGGAAGAGCCTCTGTTGTGATGGAAGGGAAATGGTGGCTTATAGTGCATATGCGCTGCTTAAGCTATACCAAGTGGTTTTATGCTGTGACCTCTCTAATTCTCAGTACCATAAGTACTAGTTTGAAGCGTTACTGTAGAACAAAATTCTGTACATTTAGGCTATATTTACTTACTTATACATGTTATTAGTTCAAAACTCTCAATATCAACATTTCCAGAGAGCTCTGTCATGTGTACTGGACAGTTCCAAAATTAAAATGTTCATACAGTGTTATGTGCGTTATTTATGTTGTTCATTTTGTCTCCTCTGGGAAGCAGCAGCTCTTTTCATAGTTAGGACTCCTCATTCTAAGCTAATGCTCAGAATTTTCAGGTTTTGGTGCTGCATCAAAATATCCATGCTTGCTTGCATATGAGCTTCTCCACCAATCTATAGCTACCCGTTTCCCATCACTTTCAGTTTGCCATGCCCGCTTACCTCAGTGTAAGCAACGATCCATGATGTGAGACCTGATTTTTCCTCTCAGCTACAAAGATTTACCAGATGTAACTGCAAGTGGCTGACTTCACTAGAGTGACATTGAAGTAGACACAGGGACTGGCAAGGACAGAACGAGCTCAGAATTTTTGCACGACATACTGTGTAAAAGTTAAAAATACCCAAATGCTGAGAGATTAATCATGTAAAATCAGTAAGCACCTATTTCATTAAATGTTGAACCATACATTTATATCTCTTTGTCTTATAGACAAGAGAAGCACTTCTGAAAATCTTGGATGACATTAAAGAAGATGACTTCTTCAATTTCATACTGTTTGGTAGTGAAGTACACACCTGGAAAGAAACGTTAATCAAGGCCACTCCTGAGAATTTGGATGAAGCAAGGAAGTTTGTTCGGAGCATTGACACTGAAGGCAGTAAGTACTTTACTGGACTTGCCAATAGCTCATTGTGAAGTTAATTTGTCAATTCAGTCTGTGAACACAATGCTACAGCTTTTTTTTTTTTTTACTTACTGATGAGACATGCCTAAAGTTGAAAATTACTCAGAAAATTACATCTTTTTCCTTATGTTTCCAAAGTCCAGGTACTTTTCTATCTAAACATCCCCCTGCTTGCAAACCCAAATCTTTCATTTTCATACTGTAATGAGATCTCATCAGATTCCAATGAAAAATGGGCCTTTATTTTGACTGTCTGTGCTGAAACCAAATTTCTGTGTCTACCTCGCAGTGACAAATTTACATGGTGGTATAATGAGGGGAATTGATATGCTGAATGCTGCTCATGAAGGAAGCCTTGTGCCCAAGAGAAGTGCTTCTATAATTATCATGTTAACAGATGGCCAACCAAATGTAGGTAAGTTTGTGTTGGATGGAATAATAAAGAGAGTGAATTAACTAACAAAAAACCTTTCAGTTAAAATTGGCCTCCATCTTTGACTTCTGGACATTTTCATGATTCGAATGCTACTATACCAGCATGTATATACGCTACTATATATATAAATTATATATATA